TTATTAATTAAAATATTGTTAAAATATTAATTAAAATATTAGTATCTTGTCCCAAGACAGGGGTTGTATTTTTCTCATATATGAGCTGTATCTTTTAACATAAAGAAGGCGATGTGACCTGAGCTTCCAAGCTCTTGTGTGCACACATGTCTCTGTGTAGACAACAAGGAGACAATAAACTATGAAGCTTTTCACCTCCTTTTTGCTTTCAGCAGTTGGCAAAATTTATAGTGACATGTGAAAGAAGGAAATTATTAATTCTGCATTTACTGCTTTCAATGAGCTTACCAGTGTCGTCATCAAAGTCAGAAAGGATGCACTCAATACCATCCTCACTGCTGGCTGACTGTTCCTGCACTCTTCGGGGCAAGTTAACCAGCCGGCCACTGAGGAAGATGGGTTTCAAGGGCATTTTATAGATTTTGGCTAACAACTGGTGGGGGAGGGGAGGGGAGAGAGAGGAAAAAAGAGAAGAAAAGATAAATATATATGGGAAAGTTTGTAAAAGCTATCACATACAACACAGGTATGTAAAATAAAAGGTATGAAACAGCATAAAGTCAGCATCTGCTCTGTTCATCCAGCAATAGTGTAAATGAAAAACACAAGTAGAGGCCAGAAGTCTTCTGTTTATTGACAAGTAAGGGGTCGAGGGGGTGAAAGAGAGGGAGAAAGGCAATTTAAATAACACATTTTTCAGAAGAGCTCCCTCCTCATTTGTGACAGACAAATGTTACTACTTACTGATTGCACCTATGACCTAAGAAGCTCCATTAGCTGTACACAGAATATTTTGGAGCTCTGAAGGACTAAGTAAATACTGATAAAAAGACCTGTACAGGTTTACTTCAGAGCTTCATTGCCTGGGTTGTCCATTACACAACAAATACAAACTTTGCAGAATTGTGGTATAGCTGGGATGCTACCAATATTTTATCAGGCCTTTCTAAAGTAAACCATGTATTTGCAATATACAGACAGGATTTCTCTTTAGTCATTCCTGTTGTTATTCTGCTGGCTAGTTAAAAGGTATAACAAGATAAAAATGGCTGCCTCTTTTAAAGAGGAGAAAATATTTCTGCCTCACTGCAGACTGGGGTTTGTAAGGATGAGGAAGAGTGATGTGACGCACATAGTATATAGATAGAACATACATTAGATATATACATAGATATTCATGAATCTTTTTTAGGTGAACAAGATAGCAAGTACAGCTTGATGTGTCTGCTGTTTATTATTCTGAGCTGCCTTATTCTTTCCTTCTCCTCTAAGTCTGTGTACCGAATCTACCCGTTATCTCTGAATTTAGATATTAAGTCCTTTCAGCTATGGTAACATCCTTTGTTATGCATTTGTATTGTACCCAGAAAAAACATGGCCTGGGTCCAACAAAAAGACCTGTAGATACTACAAAAATACAAACAACGTTATAAAATCAGACAAAAAAACCATCCTAATAACCCTGGATAATAATCTGTGCTGTGTGCAAGGAGATTACAGGAAACATGCCAGCGTTCTAATTATTAGAGATTTGCCCTGAGCTTCAGATATGTTTTCATGGTACAGATAAGCTGCTGCTGCATTTTAGAGGGGGTAACCTGTTGCTCTTCTCAGGATCTGAGAATTCTCAGGGTTTTTTTTTTTTTTTCCTCTTTCATTCCCAACACTGTTTACAGTAACTGTTTAAATAAGAACAAATGTAGCTTTGAATATGTTACTACTAGGTTTTGAACATTCACATTCTCCCACATGCTCCTTGGGTCTGAGTGTTTTTGTCTCCTCAGTTTTCCCATCGTTAGCTGGCCTAGAAGGTATGAGATTCCTTCAGATCGCCACTCTCCATCTGCAGTGCAGGTTATTGCTATCAGGTTTACCACGGATTCTGTTGTGTTCATGCAAACCATCTAACCATGATGCAAAGCCTAGAGGTCAGAAGTGTTTCCTAGGCCAGGTTAGTACTTGTATAAGATTGTTCATCATACCTGAGAACATCTCCTGAGGTAATCAAGCGCGGGAAGGCACAAGTCTGTAGATGCAGATCCTGATCCTGGCACACAGTCACCCATCTCCTTACAGTCTACTTCCCCTGGGGATAGGAAAGACAGCATTGGGAAGGACAGAAGAAGAGAAACAAACATAGCATTAGTTTTCCTTTTTCATTCAGTTGTGGCCCAACAGAATCCAGAAAACATCCTTTGTTTGATCTTGTTAGATGATAATCAGATGATTCTCACACAAATAATACAGTAATATTGGTCACAGTTTATACATATTCACCCATTGCTCAATTAATATACTCATATTTTTCTATTCATTTGCACCCCAGTGCCCTGGAAAATTCTTCTACCACAAGTTCTTCCTTTTAGTTTATTTACTCCTTAAATACACCATGTTATAACTTGTGCTACAGTATTTCCTTCTGCTGTCCAATTCAGGTGTCAAGGTCTCACAGTTTCAACTGTATGATATCCTGAGGCTCTAGTGTCTCAATATCACAGGTATTACTAACTCTGTGGCATCAGCAGACTCCTACTTTAAGGTCAGCTTCATTAAGTGTATTAAATAAGTGTATTTAAAACACTTCGTTAAGTGTATTAAATAAGCAGATCAGTTCCAAGGCATCCTGTTGCAGCGCTCCTCCCTGGATTAACTCCATTCACTCCAGCATTTTCTCTGTCTGCACAGCTTGTTTTCCTCCCCTCTCAGCCAATGTTCTGCCCACCCTAAAATACTTGGCTCATAACCATTTTTCCAGTTTAGCCTATATACATTAACATTTTATTGCCTTAAAAGCTATTCCTCTCATAAAAACCACAAGATAAATATTAAATCCTTTTATTAAATCCTACTGTATTCTCCTCTCACTACATTTATTTGCTTTTCTATGCCCTTAACTATTCCCTCCATCATGTATTTTAAAGTCTTGCCTACTATTGAGATCAGCCAAGCCAAGCGATGAAGTTTGAATCCTTTTGTTTTACGTTAAAATGCACATAAATGGTAGTATATTTGCTATTGCTCAGTACTGAAGTATCCCATAGTCAAACTACCTTTGATAAAAAAAAAGATCTTGCTTTTTGACATGTAACCATAAAGGGGACAAACTTACCTCATGAAAGTAAGAAACCTAAAGAAATACAAGACAGGCTTTTAAGTTCTCCAGAAGGAACATGAGTTCCTTCTACTGGTACCAGACATGCAAGTTTGTTTCTTTTTTGTAGTGATAACTACAATTCCGGTCTGTCATCACAAGCTGAATTCTGCCCCCATTGAAATCAATGGTGAAATAGCTTTATAAGAAGAGAGTAACATTAAAGACTAGATCTGCTGCAGTTAGGTGCTTCATTTAAATCAAAGGGAGTTGCTTACAGACCTAGATACCCCAGTGAATTAATATACTTTAGAAGAAAAAAAAAGCCCCATTTTACCACTCATCAGAAGTTTTTGCAATTTACATGGCGGGGGGCGGGGGGGAAGGGAATCATTGCCACAGTTCAATGAAAAGTGTCAAATTCTAATGATCAAGGCAAGCCAGGGAACAAAAACACGGGGGCAGAATGACCCAACACCATTTGCCTTTGTTCTGAAGTTTGGTGAAGCACCACAATTACTCTGCAGGGTCACCTTGACTTGACATGCCTGATCTCCACTGCCCTCAGTAACACAATAAAAAAAAAAATAATCATGAGGACAGAGTGTTGTTAGTTGCAATGCTCATGATCTCACTGAAGGTTCA